GAGTCCTGCAGGGGCCGGAGCCCTTCCTCCTCCCGGAGCACCCTCAGGAGGGCGTCAGGCCGGTGGAGCAGCACTTCGCGATGCTGCCAGTGCTCTGGGAGCTGGAATAAATGGGCTTGGGGGGGACGTGCCGGGAGCGTGTCTGCAGCCCCCGGTGGACTGGGCTGTGCTCACTTGGACCAGTTTCCAGCAGCCGCTTGCACAGTAGCCCTGGTTTGGAATCAGCTCTGGGACGAGCAGAAGCGAGCGAGTCGTGCGTGGTGACTGAGCACAGACACCCGATTAAAGTCCACATACCTTCCCTTCTCTGGGTGAAAAGCAGCGGGCTGAGTGCTTTGCATGGAAGATGAATCCTAAGTGCTCCTCGCCCGTCCCTGCAGCCGGAACGCGTGGTGGGTCCCAGCCTGCCTTCTCAGCACGGTGCCTGTTGCTAATTCACCTTCAGAGGTGAGCTGGGAAGACCAGTGTGTTGGGGCCGTTCAGAGGTGGCCCAGAGGCCGTCTTCTCATTGCTTTACTCTCTTAGCGCCCTCTAGTGTCCAAATCAGCACGCAGCCCTGTCTCAAGGGCAGATAACACGCAGAGTCCAGTGTGCGTGCCCGCGGTCGGTGAACGAAGACGCTAAACGCCAGCCTTGCCACTTGCCAGACTGTAACGCTTGTCTCAGCCCTCCAGCTTCAGCTGCTCCTCTGTGAGACGAGAACGGTAACACCCACCTCAGTTCTCGTCAGGATTAAAGGGGATGCTGTCACACATGGGAGACGCCCCACACCCCCCAGCACAAAGCAATAGCTCCAAAGAGTGCATCGCCGTCATAACTCTTGGCCATAAACTCACCCTGAGAAGGACGTGCAAGATGCGCCCTGAGCACAGAGCACTAGCGTCGGAGTGGGGGTTTCTGCACCAGGTCTGCTGGGTCAGGAGCTACGCAGCGAGAGCCGCGCATCTCAGCGCTTCTTACGGCATCTGGCCCATGGCCAGAGCTCAGGGAGTGTTTGCTGAATGCATACTGAATAAAAACGTATTTTCCCCTGTCAAAAATACTGCACTTTGCAGTATAAATTTAGTTTCCAAGCCTCCAAGCAGGCTGCGTGGACGCTCACGGCTCCAGAACTCAGCGCTGCTTGACAGCCTCGCCTTGCGCTGAAGCACTCTGGCCCTGCAGTCCATCCTGGAGCGCGCGAATGCCCCGTCGTAAGGCATGAAAAAGCACGTTTTGCATGATTAAGTCTGGAATGGGGACTCCTGAGCTCTGAACCGTTGAGTATCTGAAAAGGAATGTGAGTGCCTAGGACAGATGGGGAGGAGCTCAGGGATGGATTCGAGATCTTTGGAAGCCAGGGCCCGGAGGCCACCCAAGCTGCCCTCTCCTGTGCAGGATGAGGGCACGGCCCTACCCTGAAGCACCTGGAATGCACTCTGAGGACCAACCCTGGTGAATACAAATGTGCTCGTCTCTAAGTGTCGCCTCCAAGTGGCCACAGGACAGACTTTAGAAAGACTAGACAGCAACTGTTGCGAACACGAGCGCTTTCTTTATCTGCAAGTGATTCTTCTAATACCACAAGTCCTCAAAGCCACAACCAAAAAGATAAAATAAATGAGACAGACGAGTAGATTAGTTTGATGCACAAGAAACAGGTGAGAAATGTCAACTGTGTTTTCACTTTTAAGGACCTAAACTTTGGAAGAGAGGCATCCTTGTTCTGAATCGCGCAGCCCCTTCACGGCACGGGGAAGCTG